GGCTCGGTAGGCGCAGAAGGGGTCTGCCCAAGGCTCTGACCTTTCGTGCTCTTTGCGGTTGGCTGAACCCATCTTTCCTATGGCTGGGATATACAGCTCGACTCTGAAGACCCTGGAGGATTTAACTTTGGACTCTGGTTATGGGGCAGGGGATTCCTGCAGGTCCCTTAGTCTCTCTTCTTCCAAGTCCAACTCCCAAGCCTTCACCTCTTCTCAACACAGAGGCAACTGGTGGTACTACTCGGGCTCCATGAACAGTAGGAATAACAGCTGGGATACCGTGAACACTGTTCTGCCGGAAGACCCCGAGGTTGCAGATATCTTTTCCAAGTGTCCTAAGCTGCCGGATCTAGAGGAATACCCTTGGACTGATGAAGACATTGGCAAAATACTCCGAAAAGGGAAGGGAGATGGCAATACCAGAACCTTTTCTCAGGAAGCTGTCAGGCGGCTCTCGCAGTTACTGAGGCGCGCCTTGATCAGGGTCTCCAGGGAAGCTCAGCGGCTCAGCGTGATGCACTCCAAGTGCACCAGGTTCGAGGTGCAGAGCGCTATCAAGCTCATCCAGAGCTGGTCGTTGTCGGAAAGCTGTGTCTTGGCAACTGTCAAGGCACTCTCTCTGTACAGCATGAGTGCTGGAGACGGACTGAGGAAAGGTAAATCGGCTAGATGCGGCCTCACTTTTTCGGTGGGGAGGTTTTTCAGGTGGATGGTGGACACTAGGATCTCGGTTAGGATCCATGAATATGCAGCCATCTCTTTAACCGCTTGCATGGAAAACCTTGTAGAAGAGATTAAGGCTAGGGTTTTGGCAAGTCAGAGCCTGGATGGCGGAGGAGGGGAGATCTCGGCTGAAATTCTGGAGATGGTTATCAATAATGATGCTGAACTTTGGGGAGTGTTGCAACCTTACGAGCATCTCATCTGTGGGAAAAATGCTAATGGTAAGATCCATCTTTTACGATTGCTAATCTTCATACCAGCAAGCTTTACAGTAAAATCGTTGATTTCTATGGACTTGGGATTTTTTTGGTGTTTCTTTTCATCTGAGTTGCATCGTGGTTGTGGTTTGTGTGTGCGTAAAGCAGATGTGACTGTTTTGCCAGGCAAGAATGACCCAGCTATGTACCAGTGTATAAAAGGTGCAGAGGCTGTGGGAAACCAAGCCCTGTTGTCCTAACTTGCTACCAGCTGCTGTGTTGAACATTTTTACTATAACTGGCATGTAAACATGCTTCTCTGTAACCATAAAATGAAATGTGCTTTACAAGCTGCTTTTCACAAAATATCACTATTGTTTTTAAACAAAATTTATATTACAGTGAATATCTTGCAGTTTCATCTCAGAGATGCTATTCCCACGTACAGCCTGGAGAGGGAAAACAACCTTATTTTCTTTTTTCTTTGCAGTAGTAAAGTTCAGTTTCTGAGCAAAAACTTGTAACGATGTTACTTAGATTTCTTTCTACTTTAGCAGAAAGCTGTGTTGTAAATGCACTCGTGCAACAAACAAGAGCTTGTGCTTGGCTTGCCGAAGCTAGTATGTGGGATGGTGCCTCAGTAATGAGAATAACACAGCATGAAGGTACTTACCTCTGCACTTTGTTTAGAAAGCAGATTTTTTGAACAGTGAAGCAAATAAGCCCATAGAGGAATGTTGTCGTCTTCCTGTGAGACTGAGGAGCAATCTGAAAGACTTGTCATGACAGCTCTGTTAAGAAGCTGCACTGTTTGTTTTGTATTGTCACACTGAGGAGTACCATATTTCTCCACGGAAAATTTAGAGCAACGTTCAATTTGGAAAACTATTCTGCGTACCACACACAGTTCTGTGACTTCTGCGGGCCTCGTTGTTATGGTCAGATATTCCATGCATAATACATTTCTGATTTAACTCTTTATAAAACCAAGTGGCTTGGCTCTCTTCAAAAGAGAATTTCGTAATGAGAGACAAGTAAAGAAGAAGATTTTCTTTGTGGAAAAAATGCAGCTTAGGTGAATGGTAGTAATGAAACACTTTGTCAGAGAAGGACTGACTCAACTTCTGCTCCTTGGGTGCACTGATTTCCTGCAGTTACCCTATATCAAAGCAATAATGTCGTGGTTGAGATCACTGGTAGATAGGTGCAGTGACTGTCCCCATTGGGTCAGCCTGGTTCAAATTACAGCATAAGAGGATGGCTGTTATTATGGTGCTCAGAAAACCTGTCCTGTGCACTCTATCTGCCCTCCGTCTACTGAGGGTGTACTACATGTACATGAAATAAATGTGAGGAGCCCTTTGGGATGTGCTCTCAGCATTGGTGCAAAACATGACACTAACTTTAAAAGACACACACAGACATCTACTTCTTTAACTATAAGCTTTTTAATGGAAGACTATAAAGGTACAGGGATGTCTTGTCCTCTGCCAGAACACTTGTCATAATTTATTGGGTACCATGGGGTATTTGTCACCAGCTCCAAAAAGAGGACTCGGTTCCCTTCTCGTTTCTTATTCAGGGAAGCTGCAGTGAAATATTGTGGTTCTGTAAAGTAAAACATGCGCTTCAACTGTTCTCCACTCAGTGCTTCTGCCACACAGATTCTGTTTGTAAAATGGAAAGGAGAAGTCAGTCCTGCGTGGAGCTTTTTTTCTTAAGAGAAATCTTCTTGGAAAAATTGCAGTGACTGAATGGAAGCTGATGTTCAATGGAAACAGGAGTGACTGTGCAGGGAGATGCTTATAAATATTCAAACCACCAAATGGTCAGTTATGATAACGCTTGTGTAGTGCAATACCAAGCAGTCACTGGCCACAGAAGGATTGGCTTCTGTCGCCTCTTTTGTTGTCCTTGTCCTCCAGATCAATTCTGTCAATAATTGAATGCATTTTTTAAGTCTGAAAATTGAATAAAACCACACATGAAGGTATCCCGCGATTTCCTGTGACAGTCTGTCACTAGTATTTTACCTGACACAAGTCAGTGAATCTTCTAAATGGCTTTTCTTGCAGTTGTAAGACCACAAATGGTTTTATAGGCATGCAAAGAGCTTGAAATAACTTCTTTATTCTTTCTCCCTATAGGAATTGTAAATTAGTAGTGTTCACATCATTCTCCACAGTGCTTTCAAATAATCTCCTCTTACGTTAATTTAAATCTGAGGTAGATCTAGCGGTAAAATACCTGGATTTATTCCAATGTAAGGAACAGGAAAACTTGCTTTACTGTAATTTTTTTCTTTTATAGTAAGAACATTTTTATGGACTACTTGTAAATTGCAGACTTGGCATATGTTGGTTGGGTTTTGTTTTATAGCACTGTGTTTGATGCTAGAGATAAAAACCACTTAGAGGTTAAGATCTAACTCCAGTCAAGCATTGCAATCTCTGGAAGAACTCCATGGCAGCGTACTATGCAAAAGATTGCACTGGTTTATCATAATGGACCTTTCTGGCATTATGATCTATGGAATACAATTTTCATTATTAGATCAGGATAGCATGCTGCTTTGGAGTCCAAGAAACAGTAAGTAAATGCATAAATCTTCATATATTCTCAAGAGATTGAGGTTTGGACCTGTATTTCTTAAGTGATTTATCTCCCATCAAAGACAGTAGTCCAGTCACTGTACTTAAGGTTTTGGAGGCTGAAATCCTAATATTCTGTATTGTAACAAACATGTTTTAGTCAACACCTGGTGTGCGAAGGGTAAAGTTTAAAACTCTGTAAATGCTGAAGGGGAGTTTTAATATTATTTTAAAATAAATAATGATCAGTGGCTTATTTGTGTATTTGCTCTTTCTGTGAAGATGTTCTTTGATCAACTACTTGCTGCTTGTATGACATTTTCTGCTGTTAGTGTGAGTTCTGACTTCATGCCTGGGACTCGATCTCTCTGCCTTGGAAGGAGGAATGTCCTCTGAGCTTGTGGCCGTAAGGAGTTCTGTAAAGCTCTCTGGGTGCATTAGTGCCTCCAAGGGCGAAGTCTTTTCAGACAGTCTAGGTGGGGTGTTGCAAAAATAGTGGAATGCAAGCTGAAATGAAAATGAAACAAAAGCAGCAAAAATGATAAGCAGCTACTGAACAACGTAGCAACTGGAAGGTAAAAAAAAGTCATGTGAATTAGAATACATGTTTTATTTTCTGTTTTTAATTAGATGGAGATGTATGATATGCGTTTTGATATGGCTAAAGTAGAGAATGCATTTGCTAGTTTCACAGGGATTCGGAGACATGCTAATTTGGAATATTAGAGTATATTAATTTAAAATGTTTTTGTGAGACGAGGAGAAACATGAACTTTCCTTACAAATGTGATTCTTTTGCTTGATGTTCCTGTGTTTGACTTGTGCATGGTTCATTACAATCTCAACTGTCAGCACTGCAAATACATTTTGATATTATTGCCCTATTAACTACAGCACTTGCCTTGTACTTAACTATCTGGTTATTGCCAAACACTCCTGCGACAGCCAGTCCACCTGCTGTGCGATTTAATGCATCAGCACATCCTGGTGTTCTGTAGATATAAGTGCTGACAGATGCTTTTGCAAAAAATAATTTAAAAAAAAAATCGGGAGTGGAATTTGACTTGGTAACACTGTTTCTTCACATATGTCTTAGCCAAAACACTTGAAGTTCTCTGTGGATGAGCTAATCCACAAATTAGCTTGTTGGTTTGCTCAGCTGATGAGTAGGAGAGACAGAGTCTGAAATGAGCTCTATTTGTGTCTTGAGACATTTTTCTTAGAAAGGGGGAAATGTGTAACCTTTCCTCACAGTGGGAGGGAATAATGTAGACAAAATAAAACTAGCTCAGGGATGAATTTTCTTCTCTGATACTAAATGCTGTGGCACACCTTACCAAGTATGGACTTTGGCTTTAGTATCACTAACCCCACTTTGTTTTATATTTCTCACTGCAGTAATATAGGTAAAAAATTATAGCTGATTTTAACATTAAGGATTTTTAGAGCTATGCCTTTATAAAACCGCATTTTTATAGTTATCAAAATTATGTGAAATAACTTTTTTTTTTTAATTTCAGTGTAGTCATGATACTGTACTGACATCCTGCATGGAAAAAAAAATTATATGACATTTCAATAAATAAAATGTCCTTTTGTTACCTGAACTGAACAGACTGCTGTGCTCATAAAGACCCTCATCAATTTTAATAAGCTATCAGCTTCACAACTATTCAGGAGAAAACTGCATGTTAGAAAGGGTGCATTCTGGGGAAGAGAGCTGCAAATGCAATCAATAAACTAAGCTGAGTAGAAATAGAAGGCCAGTACAGCTGTACCACAGGTGGGCTGCAAACTATTGAGGGGGGAATCACAAAACCACCTCTGTCTTCTGCATCATCATGTTTGAAGCAGCGTTGCTTACCGGGGATTTCTGGGCAGGAATACGATCGACCTACACACGGCTTTCCATGTTAGATGAGCTGGTCGTAGCGATGATGCTATTCGAGCTATGGCTTGGTTCACCTCTGGACAAATGTACCCCCATACCTTGTGTGCTTCTACTCCTACGAATTCAACAACTTGGGTTTATATCCACAAACCCACAGGGACAAATTCTTTAAGCCTAGATGTTTGTGCTTGTATATACATGCTCGCCTCTCCTAAAAACGCAAACCACTAGATGCACAGTTAAAAATACAGACAGCTGCACATACGCGTCTTACATTAAAGGGTAGATCAAGTAAAGCTAAAATGGTGATTTTTTAATTTTATAGTGCATTTTATATGTGTATAAATATGTATGTGTATATATATGTGTGTATATATATTTTATTTAGTGATAGTAAAGGAAAACTTCGTTAAAGAAGTAATAATGCTGTCTTAAATTAACCCTTCAAACTGCTGATATTACACCATGGCAAAAAAATCTGGGTCCGTTCAATTCGATTCGTTAAAGAATAAGTGCTGGAAATGGCTTGGTATGTAACTACT